GGAAGGGGAGAAAAGACGGAAGAGGAATTACAAAAGCAGGGTTCTTCTTGGTTAATAAACCATCGCGGATGCTGGAGATGGAGGAGGGGAGGGTGCGAGGGGATAAGTCTCCACCCACATGTGCTGGGCTAGTGGAACGGCTGTCCTCTTGCCAGGTCCACGAGGACTCCAATCAGCATCTCCCGTCGGATGCTCGCTGGTGAAGACGACATGGCGCAGAAGCAAACTTTTCGTGGCAAGTCTTCGTTTCTAAGCTGGGGAAAATGGAGAGGAAGAAACCAGGGTCAGGTTATTGCATGTGACAACCCACCCCTACCCCCATTTTTTTAAAAAAAGCAAAAGCAAGGGCAGGGTAAATAACCAGGTTAGCAAGTTAGTTTCAGAAAATGGGTGGTTTTTTTCTAGTTAAGGAAAAAAATCCATAAGATTGCAGAATCTCATGGAATTTGGGTGATCTCACCCTGAAATCTCATAGAATTTCAGCACTCACCTGAAATCTCACAAAGTCTTATGTGACAATATTGAAATCTCATGAGATTTCAGAGTTTTTAAATTCATTTTTATTTAATTTTAAAATTCCACAGACATCATTAAAGTATATGGCAGGTACCCTAGAGGCTACAGGTATTATGCTGCCAACTCCCAAATAAACAGAAAGGAAACGTCTAAGGAATAGTCACATATTACTGTCAATTCTGGAGATTGCTACAATCAGGAGAAAATGATTAGTTCTAGTAAAACATGGCATTGTCTGAATTAACTGGACAATCTGTTATTCTTTAAAGTAATTACTTGTTCAGGCTCTCCCAATTAGTTGATTAATCAGTTAGATCCATTAATTAAGGCTGAATTACAAGGCGGGGGGAATTGCATCTTGTCAAAAAGATATTGGATTTTGCTTCAGATCTAAAAGACCATTTTAGATTTATTTATTTATTTATTGTATTTATATCCCGCCCATCTCAAAAAAACATGACTGTGGGTGGTGTGCAATAAAACCATAAAAACAGTAATTACAAAAACACTCTACAATTAAAACATTATTAGTATAAAAAAAAAAAAACAGAAGGGCTAGGGAGAGCATTAGATGTTACACGCAATGTAGCCACCTCATTAAATCCCCACGTCCATGAGATCCCCAAGCCTGTTGACATAACCAGATTTTAAGGGACTTCCAGAAGGACATCAAGGATGGGCCAGTCTTACCTCATATTTTAGCTTTATTAAATGCAAGAGAAATAGTAAAATATTTTCCTCATCTATCCCTTCCTCAATTAACCTGCCAAACTCATGTTGTCCTAGTCTGTAAACTGCTCCTAGTCTGTAAACCCTCTAGGATAAGCTATTTACATGGATGGAGTTACTTCAGTTTTTTTATACTGTAAAAGAAACATTCCAACAAATAAATGAATAAAACGGATGCCATAACTCATGGTACAAGGATGAAATACTTCACAGCAGAAAATTTCCAAACTATATAGTACAGCCTCCCCAAACTGGGAGTCTTTCAGATGTGTGCTAAGTCTACAGCTCCCATGCTTCCCAACCATAACTTTAATCATATTAATTGGGAAGGCTAATACAACTTTTAAACCAAGTTATTGGTGTCCATTTTGAACTCCTAAGGAAGGGGAGATGGAGTATAGAAGGGAAAAATTCATATACAGACAGACAAAAACTTTTTTTTTAAAGCATCCTTCCGTTAAGATGAATAATTATTCTTCAGGATTGAGAGGAATAGGCTGTCAATTCCCAGAAGATTACCACAAAGGCATGGGAGGGATGACTGGATCATCCTTCTGAATTAAAGAGTGAAATAACAGCATATATGATGCAATGAAAAACAGAGGGAAGTGAGATAAAGATCAAGGAACTGTACTGTATTTTAAGATAGAAATAAAATGTAGCATAGCTCAAGTGCAACAATACTGCAGAATGCAGGCATGCGTATGCAACTGATATATATTATTTTTAAAAACATTTTATCAGTAGAAAGCTAGCATTTCAAGAAGGACTCATTGAGGAACTCGTTTTCTATATGCAGCAATGGCCCAGTTTAGGAACAAACATCACCCTATGCAACAAATTCACAGGCTTGAGCTTTGAAAAGTCCCAAATCCACCCACAGGAAACAGAAAGTAACAGGTTAATATATTTGGGGAGGCAAAATATATCTTTCCTATACAGCTCCCACTTCCTTTTCCCACCGTGATCCAGATCCATAAGGAGCCACAAAGCCTGTAAATCATCCTCCAGTTATGCTTGGCCACGTTACCTGGTGCAACATGGGAACGGAGATCCAAACACATCTGGAGGACACCAAGTGAGGTGGGAGCATAATGCATCTGAATTGTTTGGGTTTTCATACCCCTATGAAAGATCATCACAGTTTAAAATTACAATTTGTATGACATGAAATAAAGAAGGAAGGAGGGACTGAGACTGGATTTGTCTACAATTTAAGAATTTGGCCACCCAATGAAACAGTACACACAGGACAAACAAGAACCAAAATGGAAATCTCTTTTACACAACCTGCAATTAACTTATGGAACTTGCTACCACAAGCTGTAGCACAGCCACTTGCTTAGAAAGCGTTTCCTCTTTCTATCTTCCTTCCACAGCCACTTCTCCAGCATCTTTAGTTTTTCAATGTGTACATGTGTATGATAACATCAGATGATAAAATCTTTGAGCTGAGCTTGACTCCTGGTAACTTCTAGCAACTATACGGAAACAGTTGTGATTTCTTCTTCTAGGATGTATGTTTTTTTTTCTAACTTCCCAGTCTAGCTTGTAACTCCATCCAAGTAGTGACCAAGCCTGATCCTGCTTAGCTTCTGAAACCATGCAAGATCAACCAAGTCTGGCCACCTGCTGAGGCCAAAGTATTGCGCAAATGATTAAAAAAAAAAAAGATTAAACACATTCATGAAGAGTAAGTCTATTACTATTAGCTTATGGAAACTTCCTGTTTCAAAGAAATCTAGCTTTGCATTTGAGACATCCGGGGTCAGCAAGAGTATTCATCAACAGTTTCTCATCAAATTGGAACAAGGGATCAAAAAAAGGTGAAGTCCTGTGTCTTGCACTCTTCAACGCTTTTATCAGCAACTGGGATGAAGAGATGGAGGGAACGCTTATCACATGTGCAAAAGAGAGAAAACTGGATGGGACCATTAATATTGTAAAAGACTGAAATGTAATTCTAAACAATCTTGATAGATTCTGAAAATAACAGAATGAAAGTTGACAGATGCAAATGCTAATCCCTTCTCTTCAGAAACAAAAATACAGAGATATAGAATGGGGGATTCCTAGTTTGTCAATTATCTCACATTTATGAGAAAAACCTTGGAATAGGAGCTGAGTGCAAACTGATTATGAGTCAGCAATTTGATGCTGCCACGGAAAAATCAAATGCAATCTTAACTATATCAATAGAACAACAGCTTCCAAATCGTGGGTAGTAATAGTTCCCTGTTATTTTGTGATCACAGACCTCACCTCAAGTATCGTGTTCAGTTCTGGGTACCCCACTTTAAGAAAGATTCAGACAAAGTGTAACAAGCTTAGAAAAGGCAACAAGGTTGATTAAGAGACTATTAACCAAGTTCTATGATGAGAGATTTTCTAGCAGTAACAGCAGTTTGACAGTGAAACCAATGTCCCAGGGAGATAGCGGCTCCCTTTCATTGGATGTGCTCAAGCAGAAATTAGTCAATCATCTGTTTGGGATGCTTTAATTTGGATTCCTGTACTGAGCACAGGGTTGGACTCAATGATCTAATTGGCCCCTCCAATTCCATCATTTTAGAAGCTCCAGTGTCACTTTGCTCCAAGCTAGGGTGGAGAACTCAAGGCCCTCCAGAAGTTGGATTCCATCTTCTATAAGCCCTAGTCAACATGGCCAAGGATGCTGGGAGTTAATTGCCTAACATCTGGACAGCTGAGAAGACCCCCAGACCTGTTGGACCACTTCTGGATTGAAAGATACACCACCCACTCGCTAGCTGTTTATTAAAATAGCATTTTGCTGGGTGGGGAGAAACACACACACAAAGATGGTCCAAGATCTCCCAAACAGTAGTAAAGCTTTGCACAGCTGAGAAAACAAAAAAGAAAGGAGTACTTTTTCTCCTTGCACCCCACTATAGGATTAGTGTGTTCTATTGCAGAAAAAAGCTTTGACCCTCTTTTCTTCCTAGTTATGGTCTAAAAACAGAATAAAACAAAGCACACAAAAGCTTCTTGGCCTAACAAGGAAGAATATACTAACAACCAACTTAGCTCTGGCTAGGTTCTAAAACAGAATTGAGGATGACAATGGCTGGAGTTCCTATTTAGCCATAAGGTGGCTTGTTTTTGTCTTAACATGCTGTGACGGACATGGTTAAAAAAATATGCCTTAGCATGATGTGCAAACATAATGATAGCTACTCGGGAGAGATTCTGTTCTGAAGTGCTGGGCAAGGACCAGAGAGACCAAGGTTCAAGTCTACTATCAGTCATGGAAGCCCACAGTGTGATTTTGGGCCAGTTACTCTCTCTCAGACCAACCTGCGCTACCGGGCTGCTGTGGGGAAATTGGAGGAGGGCCTGCTATGTATGCCACTTGACCTTCAAGAGAAAAAGTGAAATCTAATACATTTTTTAAAAAAACGTTTCTGTGTTGAATTAAGATTGGAATGCAACTTTGTCCTTGAGGAGCAACTACATACAGTGGGAGAGAGCTGCAGACCAATTTTCTTCCCCTACCTCATAAGCAAGTACAAGTTGAGTGGTCTGATAATGAAGCCAATTACCAAAGACAATGGAGAGCTCTCTGTCGCTAGATGTATTCAAGAAGAGATTGGACATCTCATGGGGATGCTTTAATTTGGATTTCTACAGGAAATACAGAGTTTGGATGCAGTTACCTTAAATGGCCCTTTCCAATTCTATTTACACCTCTCCATACAGCATTTGTTTTATTTTATTTTTTTACAGTTCCTACAATTTTATCCCAGTCTTCCTCTTAAAGTGGCATGCATGGAGTGAATAAAAGTGCCATTTCCAAGAACCCATTTCTCTTCCTGTTCAGCTTTTGAAAAGACAAAAGTGGGAAGTTGTCTTGAATGTTAGAAATCACTCAACAAAAATGCCACAATCTAGTCTCCAAAGTTAGTAATTAGGGCTACATGCAATAGATGGATCACTTTTAAATTAGATCAACTGGATTACAAAAAAGTGAATTCAGACCAATCCGCAGGGG